ACAGTATTCAATGTACCTTTTGGCCAATATGAATGGAATGTAATGCTATTTGGCCTAAAAAATGCTCCATCAGAATTTCAGAATATTTTGACAAAACAACTCAGATCTTAAATATTGCAGATGGCAGTAGACTCTTTATCAATTATAAATTATCTAATGCTTCTGTTTAGTAGTTCAACTAATCAAACAAAAAGTTAAAACCCTAGTTTGCCTTGCTCTTCCTCATCCTACTGCTTTCAAAATAATTGAATGCGACGCCTCCGAATTAGGATTGGGAGGAATTCTCAAACAACGCATTGATAATCATGAACAACTACTCAGGTATACCTCTAAAGCTTGGAATCCAACCTCATTGATGCAATTAAGGTCAGAACCTGGTCTATTAAGGCTGATGTTTGCAAGCGATAATCTTCTGCTACTATTATAGTGACTTGAACAAACCATATGTATCAGACCCTTGATGAGATAAATTTTGTAATTCTAGAGTTTTAATTTTGTTTTTTAATTGGTGAACTTCTTTTTTAACTTCTTTAATCTCATGTTTCAAGTCGGAAATAGAAGGTTTTTTGTGTTGAGTACTATGTTGTTCACTCACTCTTTTCATAATAGAGGCAAAATTGTATTCATCAGGTATTTTATTAATAGAAGGTGTTTTTGCTTTTGTTTTTGTTAGAGTAATAAATTTGGTGATTACAGATTTTTTTTCTTCTGGATCTGTAATTTTCTCTATAAAATCTAATATTAGATTATCTTCTTAGGTAAGCATATGAAGATTATGAGTAGGTATAGGGCAGGTACAATTAGATTCGTTCATTGGATGAGATGATTCTGTATTTGTAGAAGAATATGAAGAATCAGATGATTCTGTCCATAAAAGGTCATCATCTTGAATATGTTCTATATGTGATTCAGTAGAATCTGAAGATTTTGGTTTATGAATAAAATCAGAATGTATTGGTACATTTTGATAATTCAAAGATATTCCTGTTTGATCGATTGATAAGGGATATAGTATTGTAAGAAATGTGACTCCAAGTATAACTGTTTGGCTTAGTCCTTTGACCATACACTATCACTTGCACTACAGCTCTTTGCAGCCAATAAAAATAATACTACTCTATCCAATCCACCTACTCTCATGGGCTCTCGTAGCAATTTTTCTCGCAATGAGAAACGCCCACTGACTATAATACTATTTGTAGGAAAAAATAAAATAAAATAAATAAATAAATAAATAAATA